GTGTGTGTGTGTGTGTGTGTGTGTGTGTGTGTGTGTGTGTGTCTGAGTTCACATGCAATACTCGTTGAATTTCTTTGAGCAGATGTTTCTTTTCTGTTTTAACTTTGTGTATTTTTGTTGTTCTTGTGTTTTCTGTTCGATACAGAAACTTTTCCAGACCTCGGCTTTAGTCCTGCAGCTTATTTGAGTTGTTTTCTGGTGTTTTTTAATGTGCTGCTTTGTTATTGATGAGCTGGATGAGACGTGGGCCGGTGTTGATTTCTACTGTTATTCTTTAAGACAGTGGTTCCCAAACTTGAGATTAGGACCCCTCTGTGGGTCACGAAACATCAATTAAGWGACCCCAGATGATTTCCAGACATCAGTTTAAATGTGAATAAATTATTAATGGAATATTTTCACCAAAATAAAAAAATAAATACATTAATAACAAATGAATAAAAGTAGTATCATAGTTATTGGATTTGCTCAGATTGTTATTAAGCTCATGTTTCACAGAGTTAGTAGCAAAGTTTGCAAATGTAAACCAGGATAAACTGGGGTCACACGTTTCTGCAGCTGTTATTTTGTGGGCTGGAAGTTAAAAAGTTTGAAAACTTCTGCTGTAAGATMTAAAAATACAGCATATTGTATCTTTTTAGGTTTGTGATGTTTCCACTTTAGAAAATATCAAACTTTACATTCCTTTGTTTTGTCTGTGATTTTCACACCTGACCTGAAATAACAGATAAAGCAGAGATGTTTGTGTTCCATGTTTTTTTAATTTACAGTTTACTTTAAACATCATGATCTCTTTTTTTCTCTGTAAATCATAACATGTTTTAACTTTTTCTAAATTGTGTGTTTGTATCAGATCTAGCTGCAGTGTTTCTCAGTGTAAACTTCACACTGAATGACTAACAGAGAATCTGCCTCCCTCTCTGCTCCTTCTGACTCTTTGAKATCCTCTTGTTCATCTGTCTGAGAAGAGCGAGGCGCCAGAAACACATGAKAATCTTCACTTTACATGAAGCATGTTTTGAACACAACACCCAGAGCAGCTCTCAGGAAGCAGGCTGGTTCTGTTCAGGTCCAACTCTATGGTTCTGATCCAGTTTAACTCTCAGCTTTTGAGTCCAACTTTAAGTGTTTTTCTGACACTTGAGGACCGTTGCACTTTTTCATGAATTGTCATCAAGCTACAGTAGACCTGATATTTTTTATTTGTTTTATTTTTGTCTTTTTTCTCTCTTCTTTCTCTTCTGTCCTCTTTCCTTTTAAGGACTCAACAACAATTTGTAATATTTTTGAACATCATCCAGCTGTGTGGCAGCCAGTGTCTTTTTGTAGCTCAGACATCCTAAAACCAACATTTTGGGACAAATAAATCTTCTTGGTTTGTGCATTTCAGCAGGACAAAGACAGTATTTATTACACAGTCACCATCTGGAGCTTGTAGGGAAACTYCAACATGAGTTTAAAGGAAATCTGAGAGCTTCTGATATTAATTGCTGTGTTTGTTACTCGCAGAGTGACATAATGGATGTGTCCCAGTCAAAGTCTGACACTGGAAATGTTCCTGGTATTAAAACCTTGTTGAAGAGGCCCGTTTTCCCCACAAATCCTGTTAATTGCTCTCAAATGTGGCCTGTAATGCTGTTTAATTCAGCCCAGACAGTCTGATTCAGGCTTATATAAACGAGGCACYACACAAGTCCTGACTCTCATTGAGAAGAGAGAAGCTCAGAAAGTGTCTCATCTCTCCTTATTTATTGTGTGATTGCTGCCAGGGGACACATGGATGTGTTCAACACAATGTTGTCTTGGATGAAGCCC